AATTATGTGATAAAAATATATTACTAATGATGATTTTTTGGATATATCCAAGAATTAAACGTATGATACAAGTGCATATGAAAGCAGAATTCATTCACTTGGAAAATTTTTGTATTTTAAGGGTATATATAGCTTTCTAGCTGTTTTTCTTGCTATTGTCTTAATTTTCCTGATAATTTCAGCATTTACAAATATAAAAAAATAAAAAACAGTACAGAACTACAACTGATAACTATTTTATAGTATATATATTGTTGTTCCTATAGAAACGAATTGTTAAACAGAAAAGTAAGACAAAGTGTGTGTTTTGTTATAGCAAAGCCACATCGGGCTATCTCCTGTGTCCACCGAAGGGGAATCAAACTCCAGATTTTAGCGTTGTAAATACGAAGACTTACCGCTGTCGCACCGGAGGACATAAAACAAAGACTGGGGACTAATAACTTTGAGACTTGACGTATATTATAAACTGTGCCCCGGTTACCTCAATGATAAAATAATTAAAGTACACGCTCATTGGAAGCTTGCTGTTAACATTCATAATACAAAAAGACGTACGTGTTTAGCCTTTTGTTTACAAATAACAAAAAGTAGATATATATCTAATCACGGCAATGTTGACTCCACAAGTTAAGTTTTCAAAGATCTTGAAAGCTTCTGCTTTTTATGATCTCCACGGAAACGACATTAACCAGTACATCGCACGCTCTAAGCAACACTTTATCTCCTATATAAGTATATATTTAAAATGAATTGATTGCAGATCTTACTTTTGTATGGACCAATAAAGGAATCAGTAAGAGAACAAGCGGAGCCAGAAAAAAGATGATGGGGTTCCACAGAGCAGCAACGTTATGATAAAGGTTGAGGATAGATCTTTTCATTGTGTCCTTTTTTTTAGCCTTATAACCCTATCACTTTACTAATACTTCTCTTTTTCTATTTAAGCGGCAATATTTTAACCAACTTTTTATTTGACTCAAGTTTTGGCTTACTGTCAATACTGCGAGTTTTACCTCGAGCTGAAGTAGTCCTACCGTAAAAGAGACACGAGGAGCTATGTAAGCCAACCAGTGAGTATGACCGAATCTCACGTGTTAGCAAACCTCAACTTCTTGCACTGAATCAGGGATTATCAGCTGTGTTCATCGTCCTGGTAGCATTCGAAGTACATGTAGTTAGAAAGTGGTAACACTTTAGAGAATTGCTCGAGCAGTGTTTCTAAAGTCGTTAGTTGTGACCCAAAATTGGAAGTTAGACTGTGTGAAAGGGTCACGAACAGACTTTCGAAATAGATAATACTTTATTTGTGTATTTATTAAATATTTAGTATGCCATGTCCTTTCGCATTAAACCTAGAGACTAAGTCGTGGTACCTCAGTGGACCCGTTTACAGACTTAGAACTCTAAAATCCCGGGTTCGATCCCCTGGAGTAGACAGGGCACACATATCTATTTTGTAGTTTTACGCTAAAACAAACTCGGTCATTACTGGCCATTTCTGTTTACAAACGAGTTTTGAGTGAAAAACAAGGCTGTGAATCACTATCTGGGAGAACTAGTTAGATTATGTTTTGTAACACTAACCAACTTCAATAAAACAATGTGTTGTAGCAACTCAAGTTTGTAACACTAGGCTGTACTATAGATAATGAGGCAGCATACTGTTGTGAAGTAAGTATGTACTAACTAGATAAAGTGTGAGGTAACAATCCAGTCTTGTAACACTAACCTGTACTGACTAAATATTGCATTGTAACAAATATACGTATATGTATATATGTATGAATTCATCTAATTAATATGCCAAAGTTCTGGCATATTAATATTCTGGCATAATATTAAGTTCTTGCTCTAAGTACTATTTCATGGTGTTGTAGGCTGGCATAGAAATTAACAGTACATACGATTAACGTATATTCCCGTTTAAGAACATTTTACTCATTTTTAAATTATAAAAAGACATTGTTAGTTGAATTGTAAGTTTGGAGGTTCAATTTGAAAATCTGTATCGATCGCTACGTGATCGACATCGTTGAGGAGTTAATAGACTTGACACTGCTCGTTCCAGCATTAGTGTATACAGACTTCATTATTACTTCATCCCCTTGTTTGTGTAATATGAATATATGTGTGTGTGTGTGTGTGTGTGTAACAATTAATTTATATTATTATTTGCTTCAAAAGTAGACTTATTTGTTACTTTATCTTTTTATTTGTTTAATAGTTACACCTCATTGTTACTGTATCTTCTTATTCACTCAGTATTTATTATTAATTGTTCTTTGACCTTGTTTACATAATATCGAGATTAGATGCCGGTGCTGACTAGTTGCCTTCTTATAGTCTTCACTTCACAATTAGGTGCTAGCGTAATTAGCCCTCGAGTATCTTAGCACGGAATTAAGTTGTACAGAGGCATTTGTTTAGATATTAAAAAATAGTACTTCTTGTGTCTGGGGTATGTTTTACCTATAATTTTGGATAAAACTAACTTCCAAGATGGTTTAAGATGACTCCGTCTAACTCACAATATGCGCAACTTAAAATAAATATTGCATTGAGCAAATGCATTTCATTTAAACCGCCTAACTCGTAATTCACATTTTCTTGGTAGGGATCAGGAGGCCCGTGCACAATACCTAAATTGCGCATTATCTAGGGCATTGGCACAAAGGAACATGGAGAATTATGTGGTCGAAGTCTATGGCGAAAGTAGATATCAAAGGTGCAAGGAAAAGTGGCTTCGTGGGAGAAATGGCGGCCATCGTATCGCAAAGTAATCGGACGTCATACAAAATCAATGAAACAGAATCACATCTGTCCATGAAGTGTTAGTTTAATAACCAGAAGTACTTCTGTATTTGTAGAATTAGTCCACCGTACAGAAATACACTTACGTTCGTATTACTAGTCCAATTAAAGAGCTACATTCGTAATCAAAGACAAAATGCTCAACTCACACAGCTAAATATGAACCCTTGACTCTTCTAGAAATAAATTAGAGAATGAAATACATCTGTACTCCTAACTTTTGTACTCAGCCAAACGAATAAGTGCGTATTCTCGAAGACAGAATAGATATTTTAGATAACAAATAACTAATATATAAAATACAGCAGTTACATACAGGAGTGATTTTAAACATTAAAAGTTTAATACAAGTTAGTTGAAAGTTTGGGAATTGAATACTGGGCCTCTGCTTCACGGTAATTTGTTTTTATTATCAGAACTGTTTGGTACGTTTAGAATGCATTTTTTATAATAAAAAAAGAAATGATTATTTTGTTTGCAATGTGTTCGAGTTCAATGCATTAACATCAAGTTCGTTTGTTTGCAGTTAAGCACAAAGCTGCACAATGTAGTTTTACTTTTAAAGTATTTATCGTTAATAATAACAATATGTAGTAACAGATGGCAGCACCTTAAAATCAAGCTAAAGTACATAGTCACATTATCCATCCTGCACATCCAGTGAAACCTTTTGGTGATAATCATATTATCATATAATTCCCTTCATATTTTAAAGTGAAAGCAGTTATAGAAGAAAATTCTTCTGAAAATGTAGTACCTCCATACATTTTATAGTGTGGAAAATGTAGGTGTCTTATGAAATCCTTTTTGTAATGTGATGTCTTTATATTAAAATACTTAGAAAGTGCGACATCCTTAACCAAACACAAAGATATTAATTCTTGAATATATAGCGTTAATATTACTGTTTGTTAATAGTGCCAGTTTCTGGTGACATTTATTATCCTACTGTAAAATAACATTTCTAACAGCCGGTTGATAACCATCTGTATAAGGATTCTAAAATCCAATAAAAACTGAAATAAAAAGTTAAACCTAGAAATTATACATGAAATTTTAGGAATGGACTACTGGACCTCCATTAAAACGTAATAGATCATTTTTCCATTGTACTTTGGTTAGTAATTTTCACAATATTTGTTTTCAACATTTTCAACTTTAATATTTCAATATAAGATTCGAGGGTTCAATTCTTATTGTTTTATTCTTCACATTGAAAACATATACCTACGGATAGCAGTACATAAGAATTAAATCAATATTCTAATTATTAATCTCCATATATTTTAGTCTCCATCATCATGTGTATTTATCATTAGTAATCATCTTTGGACTCACAGAGCATAACTTTACAATGTCTAATCAAAGACTTTTCTTTAAAATGTTGAGCTAATGAAAACTTAGAAGCAATAATCCATTAATAAAAACGCTAAATAGACAACTACCCAGAGTGATGCGTATTGATATAAAAATATTTGAAAAATATTTTGAGTTCAGCAAAAGAAATAATTGTGCTAAATAAAATACGCTCGGAAACAAATCTTCTGTAAGTATTTGTAACTCTAATTAAATAACTTCGAATAAATAAGTTGAAATCATATTTACTTGAGAATTGTAACCTTTACTTAATTATTAATTTATTTTAGTAATTAAGCTAGTTAGATTAACTTAACAAAACACCTTCAATAATAATTACTTCCAACCAGAGCAACCTATGTATTTAGAGTGAAACTAGAAATGAACCTGGCCATCAGTATAGTTAGTTAAATATACTTTTCTTACGTTTTTAACCTGTAAAGATTGAAATGCAGTTGGGTATCTTCGCTGTTAACAATTATCTCACGAAGTTCAGCTACCTTAGAAGATTTATATTAGACCTAAGTGTCCTAGATAGAAGTTTTAACAATGCAAAACCATATTTATTACTAGCTGGAATAAATGGATAAAAGTTATGTAAATTCATGATTAATGAAAGGTTATCTTAGGACATGAAAAGTTGCTTCCCTTGTGTGTAACTGTAAAAAATGCACAAACGGCCATAAAAACTGCAAAACAAAAAAATGTAAAAAATACACCCCCGCATGGACCTGATGAACCTCCATACAAATTTTGGTGAATATCCATCCAAACCCTGCGGAGTAGTTCCATAGACATACAACAGACAGTACTATTATATTGATATAGATATAAGTATAACAATGAATGACAAAAGAAAAAGTAATTGCATTCGATATGCTAACTAATATAATCAATATTATTAATAAAAGCAACAATATATAAACAGAATAGCACAGTATATCACAAACACTAGTTCCCTCTTGAGTCATAGTCAGTAATGTATATTTCTTTGAAAACTTGCTCTCTCCAGCATCGCACTCTACCAAAGAAAACTCGTTACAGCACCCTCAACTATATAACGTCAGAAACTATCCGAATCTAAAAGCCGAAATTGAAACACAATAAGCCTTTAGAAATACGAAAGGCCAATACAAATAATACATCATATGGACGTGAAAACTTTTAAAATGTTGTGATACTCTGTAAAATTTCAAAACCCATAGTCTTTAGCAAGAATATTGTTGAATGTTTTACAGCATTGAAATGATTTTGTATTTGATTTTTGCAATGAGAAACTTCAGTTATGAAAACTACAAGTTAGTTTATGGGTTCTGTCCAGAAAATCTTGTAATGATTAACAAATTATTTGTATCTAATAAGTCAAGAGCAGTGAACGTCGTGACCTAATTTGTTTGGAATGTTCATATTTGAGAATGGAAAGTTTATAACTTTGATGCTGAATGTAATGATGGTGATTTACTTAGTTTTTAGTGGAATAGTTTTATTTTCCTAGAATGAGCTGTGGTGAATAAATTTTAAACTGTGTCCAGAAACTCTTGATAATGTGGAATAAGAATACCATAAATATATATATATATCTACAAGCACGACTGATGTACAAAAGCTTTATTATTGTCTTTCCTAGTAAAGTTTGTAATGTGTGAAAATTCTAGTTGGAATAAATAAATATCTGCAACTAGCGGGTTGAAGTTACTTCCAACTAAAATTCACTGTACCTGTTGGGAGAATGAGTTATCACTTACAAGATTCCGAGCCTGCAATAATTCATTTGATGTGAAACAGTGGTAACTTTTATGAGCGCTCCCCAGTGGCACAGCAGCATGTCTGCGGACTTACAACGCTGGAATCCGGGTTTCGATACCCGCGGTGGGCAGAGCACAGATAACCCATCGTGTAGCTTTGTGCTTAACTACAAACAAAAAAATTTTAT